TTCTGAGCCACAACCCCAGCCCCAAGCCAGGTTTTTTTAAAGTGATATAAACATATACAAATTAAAACAGAAATATCCAAAGGCCTCCTCCAGCCATCTTACCTGAGATTCCTTTAATGCTTGCTTTCCCCACCAAATTGGGTTGGCATCAACTATGATAACCAGAAGATTCAATTCATCTTCTGAAAACATTAACAAGAAATGAAATTTAAAAACATTTGCTGCATAAAAATGAATCAAAGCTGACATTCCCAATGTGTACAATAAATCCACTACATGCCTCTAAATGTTTATCTTCTTATTTTTTAAAAAAATTTTTTCTATAGTTATAGATGGACAGCATGCCTTTATTTTATTTATTTATGTGGTACTGAGGATGGAACCCAGTGCCTCACACATGCTAGTCAATTGCTCTACAACTGAGCTACAACCCCAGCCCCATATTTATCCTCTTATAATCATAAGATTAACAGAAAGCCACGTTGTTTTAAAGATTTAAGCTCAGACGGCCCTTGCCTGCTCCCTACTCTGCTGCATGCTCTAGAATACCATGAGCCATATTTCATCAAACCTCAGGCAATATAGATTATGAAATATGCACACACACACCCCTTTTGGGCTGGGGATCAAACCCAGGGCACTTTATCCCTGAGCTACATCCCCAGTCCTTTTAGCTTTTTGAGACAGGATCTAAGTTGCTTAGGACTTCACTTAAATTGCTGAGGCTGGCCTTGAACTTGCCATCCTTCTGCCTTAGCTTCCCAAGTTGCTGGGATTACATCATGCTCCAGCACACCTGGCAAAATGTGCCCTTATTTAAGGTAGCACTAAGAAAAAAAAAAAATGCTGCCATCTTCATTGTAGGACACCATATGGCTTTCAGCAAAGGCAGGGATTTCTGTCTGGTTCACAACTTATCCTCAGCTCCTAGCACACAACAAGTGATCAGTAACTATTTACTCAATGAACCCAAAGTTATTCACACTTTAAATGCCTGGTTAGGGACAGAAAATCTTGAATAACCAGTAGTTCAATCACCAGTGAGAGAACCACAGGCACAGAGGTGAAGGGGAAGCCCAGAGTCACCTTGGCTCAGCGATCATCCAGTCACCTCGCAGCAAGCCAACTGAACATGGAACCAATTTTTAAAAAGTAAAAACCAAAAGGGGAAGATCAATTTCTGTGTAAAGAATTTACTATGAAAAGGAATCACGCCGCTTTCCAATTGTGAAAGACAAGACACAATTAAACAGGCTACCGTAACGTAGTACTCACTCAACATTTACAGTAAGCACCAGTATTGGCTGTTGGGGTCTTGAATCCATGTCCACAGAGCTAGACTTTTAACTGAGGTGGCAGACAGGTGAACACCTGAGTGCACTGGAATGAGAAGCCGAGGGTGCTCCTGTGATATGCAGAGCAGTGACGCCCTTCCTACCTCTGCACCTTCCTTCCTGTGATTCCCTCTCCTATATCAGGATAATCTTCTCCCATTTTTGTTTCTGCATATCCAAAATCCTAGTTACTTTTCAAAGTCTCAAACCAGCCAGGCGTGGTGGCACATGCCTGTAATCCCAGCATCTCGGAGGCTGAGACAGGAGGATCACAGTTCAAAGTCAGCCTCAGCAAAAAGCAAGGCACTACACAACTCAGTGAGACTCTGTCTCTAAATAAAATACAAAAAACAGGACTGGGGATGTGGCTCAGTGGTCAAGTGCCCCTGAATTCAATTCCCAGTACCCCCCCAAAAAAAGTCCCAAACCAGTGTAACCTCTTTCTTCCAGAGGTGATGGCCCTCCCATCTTGGGGGATGGGAGGTTCCAGCCTGCTCCACACTAGGCACTGGCATCTATGATCCCACAACCCCATTCCATCCTGACTGCAACCCAGCAAGGGACATAGTACTGCTGTCTTTCATCAGTTATAATATGAACCCCCTCCTTTTAAAAACCTAGATAGTATCCTACAATTAAGATTGGCAGCATTTTTTTTCTGATATTGCACATTTTGTAATGCATATTATCTTAGTTTTGATAAATATGGTATATAGTATCCCTATTTTGCAAATGAATGTAACTTGTTCTAAGTCACACGGACTCTTAGCAAGTGGAAAAACCAATTTGTTGACTCTAAAGACTGACACTTCAGGGCTGGGGATGTGGCTCAAGCGGTAGCACTCGCCTGGCATGCGTGTGGCCTGGGTTTGATCCTCAGCACCACATACAAAGATGTTGTGTCCACCGAAAACTGAAAAATAAATATTAAAAAAAAAAAAAAAAGACTGACACTTCAGGGGCTGGGGCTCAGCGGTAGAGGGCTCACCTGGCACGTGTAAGGCACTGGGTTCGATCCTCAGCACCACATAAAAATAAATAAATAAAATAAAGGTATTGTGTCCAACTACAACTAAAAAATAAATATTCCTTAAAAAAATTATTAAAAAAAAAAAAGACTGACACTTCATGGCCCACTGTCTTACCTCTGCCTACCACCAACACCACTAACTAACTCTCTTCTAGTGACATTTGACACCAACTGTGTTTCTGATTTCTCTTCCTAATACTGCCTGCTGGACTAGACACCTTAAGGAATAATGATTTTTTTTTTCTTTTGCTATTCCAGGTTGAGATAATCCCTGTAAATCACATAATGAAGCACCAAGCCCTGAAGCTAACTGTGCCTGCTGCAGACCCCTTCATACCCCACAGCCTGTAAGCTTTTGTCTTAATTTGCCCTCAGGCCCCAACATAAAATCCTCAGGCTTTTCAGTCCTTGCTACTGCCTAAAATTTTGAGAAAGAGGAAAAAAAAATGTGGTCTGTCAGAAGTATGGCTCTACACACTGCAATGTCCTGTAAATTTCCTTCTGTTTCTCTACCTTACTTGCAAACCAGAAATGCCAGGCCTGTGTCCTTCACAGGGTTGTGAGGCCAGTGAAAACGGATAAAGGGAGTATGATCCATTGTCCTCACCTCTCAGTGGACCTCCCAAAGTCTAGTGTTGCCCCTCACAGTTCACCTTCCACACAGCAGCCAAGTGATCTTTTAAAATTGGAAATCAAATCAAAAGTCTTTGCTTAAAACCCTGAAACGGCTTCGTAAAATAAAGCCCACAAGACCCTTCATGATTTGCATGACCAAAATCCAGCTCATTCTCAAGCTCATTCATTTCACTCCTATTTCTTCAAGACATTATGGCCCTATAATTGGTAGTTTAATGTATGGATGAAAGTCTCTCCACTTTCCTTCTACCAAGCTCCCTGTTTCTCTCTTCTCAGTGTAAACTGGTAATTCGACCAACCACAGGGCCTTTGCATTTGAAATGTACTTCCCGCAGAATTTCACAGTCATTCGAGTTCCACTATGTCGCTTTTTTCTGGACTCCCAATGAAGTAGCTCCTCCTTGATCATAGTCCCCACAACGTCCTTTTATATTTCCTCTTACATTGTCTCACAACTCTTGTTACCCTTTGGGATTTTATTTACTTGCCGAATACCCCTCTTGCTCACAGTGACCTCCTCAAGCATCCCCGTCCGCCACGTTCTCTACCCGTAGTGCCTGGCGCAGAAAATACTGCCTGGCGCACAAGCGATCCAAAAGTAGCTCCTGAATGAATGGAAGGACGCACGGGCTCCTCCGCTAAAACCCAGAGGGGTTCCATCCTGCCCAAAGACGCACTCTGCTTGACAGGTCCGGGCCAGGCCCACTCCGCCCAGCCCCAAGGTCGGGTCCCTCCCTGCGCGGCCCTCACCGTCAGACACCATTGCGACCCCGTCCCTCTGCGTAGAGAACTAGCGGTCGAGCGAGCGCTCTGGGGCCAGCGCACACCAACTTCCGGCGCCGCCGAGTGACGCAAGCGCGGCTGGGCCCGGGCGCGCGCGGCACTCACGGCCCCGCCCCCGAAGCGCCGGAAGTGGCGTCTGGGGTGCGCCGCGCGCTGTCAGCTTGTGACTCGGCCGGCTCAGTCGCGGGACTCGCTAGCAGCGAGCGACTCTGGGGCCCCAGCTCTCCGCGGTCCAGAGGCACCATGGACGACAGGGGTGAGTCGGGATGGGCTGGGGGGACGAGCCGCACAGAAGACCCCACCAACCTCCCAGCCAGACTGGGCTCGGGAGAGTCGCTGTCCACTCTCCGGCCGCTCGGCTGGACTTTCCTATAATCACAATTAAATCCCCCTCGCTGCTCCCGAGTCAGGGAATGGGCCTGAGAGCGTCCCCAGACGCCCCTCCACACAGCCCCGTCCCCGGGCCTCCGGTAAAAAATGAGACCCGGACCTCGTAAAGTAGGAAGGCTTCCTGCCACAAGGATAAGGCATCTTTGGTCTGCTCATCCTGTACGGTTATCAAGGTGTCTTATTAAGTGACAAAGGAGGGCGAACTAATACAATGCTTGTCATGTAAAAAAATAAAGCGAAGTGGATTGAACTCTCCATATACATGTGTATTTGTGAGTAAACTTGAATCAGCACAGACTCTGGGGGGAGAGCAGGGGAAATTGGAAAGGTAGATGACTCTGAGATCCTCTCAACACTTAGGAAAGAGTAGGAAGGAGAATGACTTTTCATTACCTTAACAGTAGGGCTTAAAATTTATGCCTTGCATACAGATAACTATCTTAAAATAAGAAAGAGATCTTGTAACAGTAAAGTGGTGTCGTCTCTATGCCTATCAGCATTTATCATGTCCCTAAAACTAAACACTCCCAAAAGAAAGTATTTTTAAAATGACTTTGCTTAAGGTCAACAAGCATAAACAAGCTCTCCAGCCTTACATCCTGCTAAATGAATCTGATTAGTCACTTTTTTCTCCCTTCTCAGAATTAATTGAATACTTCAAATCTCAGATGAAAGAAGATCCTGACATGGCCTCAGCAGTGGCTGCCATCCGGACTTTGCTGGAGTTCCTGAAGAGAGATAAAGGTAAAGAGTGTCATTCTTGAACACTCTGGGTCTTAGGAAAAGTCTTCTGATGACTATTAGAAATGTAGAAAATGAGACATGTATATTTGTCTATAGCCTTAAGCCAACTTCTTTATTTAAGGCCTTTTAACCTGGAGCTAGCCCTCAAGTTGTCATCAGAAAGGATCCTTTCCATAAATGAAATGTGCTTTGAATCAAAAAAGACCATTTTTTCTCATATTAACCATGCTTAAATTACAGCAGTAATTCAACTTTATACATGTTTATTGAGCTTCGGCTTTGCCCTGAGTTCTCTGCAGATGCTACAGAGAACATTTCAGAATAAATTCTGTTATTAAATATCATTCATTGTGATCTATTAATTCACCGTTCTAAATGTAAGTGTCTGAGTATGGTATAACAAAGTGGTGGTAGTAATGATGATGCGGCCACCTTTTGTAAACTGAAGGGCTGGCCTACAGATGTGTTTCTACAACGACCTCCCCTGGCTTTGCATCATACCTACAACAACATTCAAATCTGAGGCTGCCCTGTACTGTCAGACCTCATCTTCACCTCTACTTAATTATGTTCCATATTGTCTGCCCCTAAACTATGCTATAGCCCTGCTAGCTTCTCATTGTTTTTCATGCCAATTTTATTCCCATATTGGGGCCTTTGCATTGTTATGGTCTATGCCTGGAACTTTCTTCACTGGGTCTTTATGTGGCTGTATCCTTTATTATTCAGGTCTCAGTTTAAAATGGTCCCCATTCCAAGAGGCCATCTCTTTCCAGTAGGCACCTTGTTCATCCTTCTATTCATTTCTGTCTCTACTACATTCTATAATTCATTTATATGCTTGTTTATTGTTTGCATCCTCCACTAGGAAGCAGAGCCCTGTCTTTTTCACTGATGTATCCCTGTCATCTAGAGCAGTGTCTGGTATACAGATGAAACCAGTAAATATTCACTATATGGATGAATCACACACTAGCAAGGGACTGTGACACTCTGGGGAACATCAAATTTCTCCTTTGATCATTCCAGGGGAGACAATCCAGGGCCTGAGAGCAAATCTCACCAGCGCCATAGAAACCCTGTGTGGCGTGGACTCCTCTGTGGCAGTGTCCTCTGGTGGGGAGCTCTTCCTTCGTTTCATCAGCCTTACCTCCCTGGAGTACTCGGTAAGCCATTGACCGCCATCTCTGATTGACTGCAGATATTCTCAGCTTTACCTGGATCTTCTTTCCTCATTTTGCTCTTCTCTTCCTAGGATTACTCTAAATGTAAAAAGATCATGATTGAGCGAGGAGAGCTTTTTCTCAGGAGAATATCCCTGTCGAGAAATAAAATTGCTGATCTATGCCATACTTTCATCAAAGATGGGGCGGTGAGTAGATATCTATCACATGTGGTAACAGAGCAAGGACATTGGAATCAGGCGATTAGGGCTAAAATCCCAGCTCTTCCACTTATTTAATGAGTAACCTTGGGCAAGTTCTTCAGTCTTCTCATCTGTTCATAAGAACAACAATAAAGCCTTCCTCATGGGATCACTGTGAGGACTAAATGAAATGTTATATATAGGGGCTCAGTGCTCTGCCTGGCACACAGTGCTGTATAAATATTTATATATAATATATAAATATTATATATATTATATATATAAAATACACAGTGCTGTATAAATTATTATATATAACAATATATAAATATTATTATAAATGCTTGTTGGTGTGAACAGGCAGAGAAAGACATTGGCATAGCATTGGTGGTTCTTAATTTAACAAGAAGTTCTTCTAAAGAAGTATTTTTATGATTGGATATATAGTTGGTTGAATCCACAGACCAGCTCTTGTCACGGGTTAACATGAAGCATCTTCCTGGTGAAGGTTAGCACTGGGTGGAGATTTTAATCTTGTTTCAGATGCTGTGGCAGTAATGCAAGGCTGCCAGATGCACATCAGTCAAGTAAGGAGAGACAGGAACTGCTCGTTGGGCCAGTCTCTCAGCACAGGGGTCATACTCATAAAACTTTTATGATGTCTCTCCCACCAGCATACATCTTACATCCTATTTGCCACCTAAGCCTCCACTGACCATAAAAGATTTTTACTTGCATTTCAACTCTTAAATCTTGTCCTCTTTTTTTATTATCCCTTTCCAAACCTTAGAAGTTATTAAATAAATTACATAGTAGGTGTGAGTGAAACCGTACAAAAGCCAATTCACGAACAAAGCCTTTTTGGGCCAAGTGGAGACAGGGTTGTGCCACCTCTTGCCGAAGCCTTCTCCAGCCCTGCCCTAGACTTGCCATGCTTGTCAGTATTCTGCAGGCATCCTCTGCCTGCACCACCCTTCTCTGCACTGATTTAGACTACATTTAGAACAGGGCTGCTCACATTTGAACATGCAGATGAGTCACCAAAGGTTCTTATTAAATGCAGATGCAGCAGGTCCAGGTAGGGCCTGAGAACCTGCATTTCTAATGTGTCGAATAGGACTGACAGGAGCTAGAGAGCCATGTCTGCCGTCCTGTTTTACATGATCCTTCATGTTCTCCCTTGGAACAGGGGCCACATGTAAATGTCCACAAATATCATCTGCACCACAGACAGCTTATTTTTATCCCAGACAGTATTCATAAAATTTTCAAATTATTAGCTAACACTTAATTATTAGATTTTCAGATTCTCTGGAAAAATCAGATGTTTTGGCAATAGTGGAACCACATGACAACAGTAAGAGCTAAGGAACCTGGGTCCCCTTAGTCTTTCCACAGCCAGTGGTGCCACCTCGCCCACTACATTGACTGATGTGATCTGCCTGGTACCTGTCTACCCAAGTGTGCAAATTATGTCTTAGAGATAGGGAGACCAACGCAGGGAACCCCATGGGCTCTCAGACCCTGTGTGGGGGCTCCACTAGGGAAACCCACACTACATTGCTCTAGCAGGAACTCAATGTACTCTCAAGGTCTCTTCTGATGACGGTTGACTTGTGAGGAAAGCCTACAGAGGAGCTTGGAGCGCCAGGACATAGTGCACACATCACAGTGCAGATGGTGTGGGCAGTCACCAGGGAGCGTGCCGCTTCATGAAACCTTCTCTATCCACAGAGAATATTGACTCACGCCTACTCCAGAGTGGTCCTGAGAGTACTTGAAGCAGCTGTGGCAGCCAAGAAGCGCTTTAGTGTGTACATTACAGAGTCGCAGCCTGATCTGGCGGGGCAAGTATCTTCCCATTTGGTCACAGGTTGATTGGTCATTATGGAGCATACCAAGGACTGGAATCCATCATAGTAGGAACCAGAACATGCCCCCATTGGCCAGGCAGGTGACATGGCCTTCGAACTTGTCATTCCTGCTCCTGGAAAAACAATCATGGTGGATTTGCAGCAGGGCAGAGTACAGGCTCCAGGTTTCTATTTAAGTAGTCAAATCGGAGGAACACCAAGACTGTGTTGCTGAGAAGTTTTTATTAAGGAGTAGGTACTTCACACCCTTATCTTTTCAGAAGGTAATCAAAGCAAAACTTTTTCTTTTTGTAAGAATTTCCATCTTTTCCCCAGAATACCCGATATATTTTTCCTGAAATACATGCTTTTTCTTAGAAAAAAACAAATTCTTATTTCCTTAATCCAAAAGTCTTGGGAGCTGCCCCTTAGTCCATAAGTAATAACTGAGCTTCAAGCTAGCATGATTTAATCACTGTCTTAACTGACTCATCAAACATCACCATGGGACTTTCTTGGACTTTCCCTAATTTTCTCAAAATGTCATCTTTAGTAAGAAAATGGCCAAAGCGCTCTCTCACCTCAACGTCCCAGTCACCGTGGTGCTGGATGCTGCTGTTGGGTAAGTGCCTGTCTTCTTTGGCCGTGACCTGCCTACTCTCAGGGTTGACTCTAAGCAGTGCTTTCAGATTTAAGGTTTGACTCCGATTCCTAAAGCTACACTGCGTCTTAATTAATAGCTGCTCTAAACCAGCAAGCCCATTATGAGGTCTCCGTAGCATATGCAGGAAGTAGGACTGTGGAATGTTGGTTAGTGAGGGTTGTGTTCCTAGCACTGTGAGTAGGAGTGTCTGTGCATTTCAAGAGTGACATATAAAGGTTGAATTTGATCACCATCTTGGGTAATCAGTTCTCTTTAGCCCTAACATAGCTGTCCTTGGTGCTGTGCTGGGTGCTGTTTCTCATGCAGGTGTTTCTCTCCGCAAACCAAAATCCCATTTTGCTGGACTCATCAGTGCATTTCATAAGAAAAAATAGGAGTAATAATCTCTTAGGAAACATACACTCAGTCAGATGATCAAGAAAATTACAGCCATGAGCATGCCTGTAATTCCAGCAGCTTGAGAGGCTGAGACAGGAAGATTGTGAGTTCAAAGCCAACCTCAGCAAAAGTGAGATGCTAAGCAACTCAGTGAGACCCTGTCTCTAAATAAGATACAAAATAGGGCTGGGGGTGTGGCTCAGTGGTTGACCCCTGAGTTCAATCCCCAGTACCCCCCAAAAATTAGGAGTGTGTTCAAGAGCACATTTTTGAGCAACTCTACCTGTTTTGCTCATTTTAAAAGTAAACTCTGCTTGGCACAGTAGCACACAGCTACAAACCCAGAGACTTTGGAGGCTAAGGCAGGAGAATCTCTCAATTCAAGGCCAGATTCAGCAATTTAGTGAGACCTGTCTCAAATTAAAAAAATTAAAAGGGCTAGGGGTATAGCTCAGTGGTAAAAGTACCCTTGGGTTCAGTCCCCAGTTCCTCCCCCTCCAAAAAAAAAAAATAGGGTAAATAAATAAATTTGCTTCTTCATACTAGGAATATTCTTAAATTGAATAATGGTTTCCAAACTCAGATTGCATTGGATTGGGTTTTTAAACGTTCTTATTTGTGTTGAAGCAGAACTGAGCGCACCATACAAATAAGGGGGAGTACTGATGCACATGCTTGTGAGCATGCATAGGGCAGTAAAGTATCCATCATTGAGGGGTGGTGGTCAGAGATTTTAATGCCTGTGGTAACAGAACTGGAAATATACCAGGGGTCCCTTTAGAGCAAAGGTAGTTGTGGGAAGAACTTGCCATGATAAAAATGGATATCAGAAAATGATGCTACCACCTAGAGCATAGAAAAGAGCATAAAAAGCTTCTGACTTCTTTCCTCAGCTACATCATGGAGAAAGTAGACCTCGTCATAGTCGGCGCTGAAGGAGTCGTTGAAAACGGAGGGATTATTAACAAGGTAGGAGCAAGGGTTCTCCCATTTCCTGCTGCAGACAAGGGGCTATTACTGACAGAATGCCAGAGAGCGTTCTACTCCAAATCTTAGCCTCAGGACTTCAGCAAGGTATCAAGTTGTCACTCCAATTTGGTTCAGATTTCCTTTCTTCCTTCCGTGCTCAGTGGTGCACACCTGTAATCAATCCCAGTGGTTTTGGAGGCTGAGGCAGGAGTGTGATCATGAGTTCAAAACCAGCCTCAGCAAAATTGAGGCACTAAGCAACTCAGTGAGACCGTCTCTAAATAAAATCCAAAATAGGGCTGGGGATGTGGCTCAGTGGTTTAGTGCCCTTGAATACCCAGTACCCCCCCACCACCACCAAAAAAAGAAAACGTAGCTACAAAAATTAAGTCTGTAATATGTATTCACACATCTAACTGGAACATGCAGTTTTTGTTTTTGTTTTATTTAATCAAGCATGTTTGTGACCTCAGTATATTTCATTAGTTTCTCTATGTGTTGCTTAACTTGGAAAAGTTTCATATATATATTTTTTTCCTCAATACAGGGGATTGAACCCAGGGACACTCTACCACTGACCTACATTCTTAGTCATTATTATCATTATTGTTGTCATTATTTATTATTTTAAATTTTGAGACAGGATCTTGCTAAAGTTACCAGGCTGGATTCAAACTTGGGAACCTTCTTCTTCAGACTCTGGAGTCACCACCATGCCTGGCTGAAATAATTTTTTAAATTGTAGTTAAGATATATACATAGCTAGGCATATGGTGCATGCCTATAAATCCCAGCAGCTTAAGGCAGGAGGATCTCAGTTCAAAGCCAGTCTCAGCAAAAGTGAGGCACTAAGCAACTGAGATCCTGTCTCTAAATAAAATACAAAATAGGGCTGGGGATGGGGCTCAGTGGTTGAGTCCCCGTGAATTTAATTCCTGGTTATCTGCCCCACCCCCGCCAAAAAAATACATAAACCAAAAAAAAACTTTTGGTGTGTGTGTGGGGGGGGGTGCCAGGGATTGAACCCAGGAGTACTTCATCTCTATGCTACATCCCAGCCCTTACAGTTAAGTGGCATTAAGTACATTCACATATTTTTAAATACAGTCACCATTGTCTGCTTGGAAAATTTATATTCTTCCCAAACAGAATCTGTACCCACTGAGCACCAACTTCCTTTCCCCTCCCCTCATCCCTGGCCACCTATACCTTACTATCGCTGTGATCTCTGACTCATTTCACTCACTGTGACAGTTTTCAAGGTTCACCTACACCCTAGCATGTATCAGAATCTCATTCCTTCCTGTTTGGTACCAGGAATTCAACCCAGGGGCACTTAACCTTGAGCCACATCCCAGTCCCCTTTATTTTGAGACAGAGTCTTGCTAAGTTGCTGAAGACCTAAGTTGCTGAGGCTAGTCTTGAACTTGAGATCCTCCTGCCCCAGGGATTATAGATGAAAGCCACCATACCTGGCTATCTACTCATTTTTCCTCCCACACAAATATGGACTACTTCACAAATTTATATCTGATCCTTACTCAGGGGTTCCTATTTTAGTATATGTGCTGCCAAAGCGAGCACAATCTACTGTTTTCATGATGGACATGAGGCTATGAGCACCATTGGCTGGTGTGAATAGTGTTGCTTGTGGATATCTGTGAACAGGTATCTGAGTCCCTAAGAGTCACAAAATGGTATCGCATTGTGATTTTCATTTGTATTTCCCTCCCCAATAACTGATGATGTTGAGCATTTTGCGCTCACTTAAGGATCATTTGCATATCTTTGGAAAAACACTGTTTTTCTAAAAGATCCTTTGATTCCAAAGTGAGATTTACATGTTCGTTTATACACTTTCCTTTGCTCCCAAGTTCCAAGTGTGCTCAGAGCTCATCCTCTGCTTTCTGACCCCCAGATTGGGAGCCACCAGATGGCCGTGTGTGCCAAGGCACAGAACAAGCCCTTCTATGTGGTTGCAGAAAGCTTCAAGTTTGTGCGGCTATTCCCACTAAACCAGCAAGACGTCCCAGATAAATTTAAGGCAAGATTTTCCTGTCTAAAGGGGTCCTTGAGTCTAATCTGAAACCTTTAAAAAAACTGCAGTGCTAAGAATATTCCAGAAAGTCATCTCATTACTATTTTTGCCAATTCTTGCGATAAAAAGATCAACTGGTGGTTACTGAACTTGAATGTGTCCCTTCCCCAGAACTCACACTCTAGTCCAATTCCCTCAGGCAGCCCTCTGTAGAGAGGCACTGGCTAATCCAAGCTGTGGGATGCACTGTCCAGGCTCAGCTCATACCTCCACCCTTTACGAACCATGCACTTTGACCAAGTCCTTCTGCTGAGCCTCAGTTCCTTCTGTAGAGTGGGATGGCACTACCTGACAGAGGAAGCCTTCGGCAGGGCTGGCTCCAGGCCCCTCTTCATAGTTATTCTAACTAGCTGCCGTGGGAGGTCTAGAGAAGGGAGTCTAGCAGTTGTGAGGGCCCCATGGTTTATTTGTCTTGTTATGCTTTGTCCTTGGCTGGTAGGCCACTATGGTGTGGCTCACAGCGGGGGTCTGCCCTCCCATGGCCAGAGCAGCCTCAGGACCAGCACACTGCACACGCCAAGGCCTCAGCAGCAGAGATCACTGGCTGTGCCATGCAGACTAACACAGGTTCTTCTCTCCTCAGTACAAGGCAGATACTCTGAAGTCTGCACAGACTGGACAGGACCTGAGAGAGGAGCACCCATGGGTGGACTACACCTCCCCTTCGTTAATCACCCTGCTATTCACAGACCTGGGTGTGCTCACACCCTCAGCAGTCAGTGACGAACTCATCAAGCTTTATCTATAACCATCGGTCTTCCCGGTGTCCAGTGTACCTGCCTGGGGCAAGGTGGGCAGCCTCTCAACCCCTGTGAGCCAAGCCAAAAGGAATCATTCTATGGAAGACCCGTGGACTGTGGATATAAATTACATGTCTTGGAGGATCTTTTTTACTCATGTGTTCTTGGTTCTGAAACCAAACCTAAATGAGCACCAAACCTAAATGAGCATACAGTTTTCAGAGACCTTCATTGTCCAGAAATAGCTACGTTATTGGCTGCTTCCCTGAGGAAGACCAAGCCCACCACCTTTTCTCCTGTGCTGTTCCACACTAATTTGCCAAAAGCATCTAAGAAAGGCAGGCTGAGAAGCAGTGCCACAGCCAGACCCCTATGGTAAGGGACAGCAGCTGGCAGGACATGCACCACATGTGGAGCTCATGAGAAAGGCAAGGGACACTTGCTGGCTTGCATCTGCTCCATCCTCCTGGACAGGACCTAGCCAGTAAGTAAATACTGAAGTTACATCACAAGGCAGGCAGGAGCAGCATTTAGCAGGTATCATAAAGATACCTTCCTGCTGGAGTATTTGTAAACTTAGATTCCGAATCTGTAAAAGGTGAATTTCCTCTGAATGTGTTTGGTCCTAAACAGCTTTTTAAAAATATATTTGGGAACAAATTCAGCATTTTCAAATAAATTATATGAAAGATTTTGATATAGTATTGCCTCGATACTGCAAGCTGACCTCAGACTCCACACATTGGCAACAGCAAGTGAGAGGCCATCAGCGAAGGCACTAGACAAGGATATACTCTTTATCCAATAGAAAGAAAAACCATGTAATAATTCATTCCCAGAATATGAAGTGTTTCCTGGTCTTCAGATATTCACTAATAAAGCAGCCTGAGAATATTAAAAAAGAAACCCCAGTACATTCACCACCTCTGCAGGTGCTCAGTGTAGGGCAAAGGATAAGAAATCCAGGGGCCATGGGCACACAGAAAGGTCACTGCCTGGACGTACTGAGGAACTTTAAAAATACTTTAAAGATACCAAGGTGTACTTGACTTTATTTAGGTTTTTTAAAGTTCCTAAGTACACCTCGGTATCTGTTAAAAAAAAATACTTACAAAAATAACCCTGAAGGAAAAAACGCTCTTTAGCTACAGTTAGCTACAGGTGACCCACCAAAATAAACACTGACATCTATTATTTACACTCAGATTTTCTTCAAGACTAGTGTGCTCTGAGTGAAGTATTCCCAAGTGAGAAATCCCCTCATTGCTTCCCAGTCTGAAAGAATAGCTTCCAGGATGGACTCTTCTCAGTGTCCCCTGAGTGAGAGGCCACTTGTGCCCACCTGTGCTTCACCTAAGGCATTGGAATCAGCAGTCATCGTCCAAATCTGACATCTCCAAATCTGCTGTTGTGGCTCTTCTTTTGCCACTTGTCAACAACCCCTTCTCAAGTTGTTCTTCAGTAATTTTGCCTTTCTTAAACTTTTTCAAGAGCCTTGTGTCATTAATAAGTTCCTCCATATCCTCGTCTTCAATATCAGAACCCTAAATGCAAACAAGAAACCAACAAACTGAATTCCTCAGCAACAGTGTAGTGAAACCAGCAGGCTTTTTTTTTTTTTTTGGCAATGGGCAGGGGAGAGGCAGCACCTGAGATTGAATTTAGGAGCACTCTATTGCTGGCCTCTAAGTTGTAATCCTTGCAAACCTCCTGCCTCAGCCTCCCAGGTTGCTAAGATCAAAAGCACACCCAGCAGTTTTTACTGCGCAACGCTATGCTCTCACATCAGCTCCCATAAACACAACTTCCCACCCTGCTGATCAACACAGTATAGAAATGTGACAGCCTCAGACAACTCCTATGTTCTATTGTATTCAAATGTTCTATTGTTATATTTGCTCAGAATTTTTAAATTTAACCAGTAAAAATTGTAAGCTTTACCTCTTCCCTTTTCCTTTTTTCATTCATCTTTTTCTTCCTTTCCTTTTTGGCCTTCTGCTTCGACCAAGCTTTATTTTTCATGAATTTTCTTCTCCCTTCATGTTCCATTTTCTCTTTTCTTTGTTCCTCCAATAGTTTCTGCCTTTGCTTTTCTCTAGCTTTATCTTTAAATGGAATCGTGTCTGTATTAATGTCCACAGGCACAAAATCTGGAAATTGCTTTCCTCTCAGTTCTGGCATCTTGGGCATCCTCAGCAGGGCGAAACCTCGAGCAAGACTAGCAAAATCAAGATCTAATTAAATCAAAACACCAGCGTTAGCACACCAGAACTTGGTCACCAGAACCATCAAGGAAGATTCCTCACAACACAATTTTTCTAACCAAAGCACTTAATAGATTCATGCGAATTAGAGTCACAGTAATTATTGTTTAACAAAGTAAAGAGAAATACTGAGCACCTAGTACTCAGTTGAGAAGTATCTGATGAAGCCTAGGAAGTACTCCATTTTAAACAATTGGAAAACACTAATGTACCCCATACATTGTAACAGACAAAGCAATTTCATGTGTGTAAAACCATCAAAACAGAAACACAATTATGTGAAGCAAAGATCCAACCTACCCTTCAATCTGAAGATGAGGCTGCACTCATGCTTTGCGTAGGCCTGGACACAGGACACAAAGGCTTTCATGCCCTTTTCAAACACCGCTCTGTCGGCCAGGGCCAGGGCCCTGAGCTTGGGCAGCAGGTCCACTGTGTTCTTCTGAAGTTTCATCTCCTGCAGGGGGCACTGCACAGAGACCAGTCTCACTTCCCTGGCTTATGCCACCTCAACTCCAGGGGACCCCCTCTGAACCAGTCCAAGAATACCAACAGCAGAATAATCCATTTTAATCTGAAAGCCTGAAGTCTGAATCCAGCCCAAATATTTTCCTTGGTCTATAAAGTATTTTACATTTTCAAAAGAAAATTTGAAAATAAATTTCACATGATTCTGCTGTGACAGGAAAGTACAGCAACACTAGCTCTGTGTCCCCAAGTCATGGCCTTGGCCTGGACACAGCAGTGGCCAAGGTGAGGCCAAGGCCCCACAGCCTCAATGCCTGCTAGGCTCCGAGGTGGGCACACTACCCATCCCTCATCTATTCCTCTGACCATATGTGGGACAAGAACTGTTGTAGCCACCCCATCACTGGGTGTTCTATATGAAAAGAGAAGACGGCTTACTTTTTGGTTAATTGCCAGGAAATTGACGTACGACTCTTCCATGGGCAGGAGAAACACCAGGGCGCTGCCACCATGGCCAATGCGGGCTGTGCGGCCACAGCGATGGACAAAGGCACTGTGAGGACAAAGGTGGGAGCTGAGTGGCGGTGAGCAGAACCCAGGCCCCAGCCACACACTGACACATCTGCACTGCTGCGGGGACAGCTGGACCCTATTGTCCAGCAAAAGAAAGGGGAGAACAGCTATCACACCAACACCACCAGGAGTGTGGCGAGACGCCCAGGGTAAACTCCAGCACAACTCGAATTAAACGTGTGCCTTTCTCTAGGATCATACAGGGAGCAGACTCAGAAAATTTGGGAAGCAATGAAAATTATAAAGAATAAAACAAATTATCTATAATCCTTATCATCACTTAGGAACTTAGTTACGGATTTTTTTATATATGGGAAAAATAATCGCAATTTCCACATATGGTACTTTGAATTGCTTTTCTTTCCCCCCTTAAAACAGCCTATCATGTACTTAGAAAAAAGCACACCAAAGGTTATTCACTCACTAATCTAATTTTTGCTATTTAAAATAATGTTTTGAACAAGATTGTGTTTACTTCCCCTACATTCCTGGTCATTAAGTTCAATTCCTCATCAGAACGGTCACACTGAATCAGAGTACCTGGCGTTGCTGGGAGGGTCATACTGCAAAACCCAGTTCACTTCAGGAATGTCAATCCCCCGCGCCATCACATCAGTGCACACCAAAATCCCACTACAACGGGAGAAAAGAGCATTCTGAGTAAGGATGTCACCATCTCTATCACCAATAGCAGAATAATCCATTGAGGTCTACCAATCGCAATAACAGCAACACAGAGGTTCTGGAGGTTCCACAGAAGCAAAGATGTTTTCCCCCCAGTATTGGGACTAAATGCAAGGGCACTCTACTAATGAGCTATATCCCTAGTCCTTTTTATTTTGCCCAGGCTGGCCAGGCACAGTGGCACATGCCTGTAATCCCAGTGACCAAATTAAAATAAGCAAATACTTCTTGATGGTAATAGTTCATTTTTTTCTTGCTCCTAAGAATCTCCAGAACTTGACGAATTCCCAAGAAAATGGGGATTAGGAAACATAGCAATTTTTTTTAATTAGAGTATTTCCATTGAAAAATAAAACTGTGGTGGGCTAACTCTTGGCAGCCACTTCAAGAAACAAGTGATATTTTCACTCCATTTTGAAGCCAAGTCCTTGTCCAGCAGCTGCAGAGCAGAGGCAGGGTAGACTGGAATGGGGCTGAAAGCATGAGCAGTGGCCCAGTCTGGACCTGGTGCAGATACCCACTGCACACAGCTCCAGAGCCCAGAACCCCTCAGATACTCACAATCCCACGACCTCAACGTCCTGCTTCTCGACTAGTGGTGGGAAAACAAAGGTGGGGCAAAGCCAAATGGAGACTGCAGAGCTAACCAACAGCACTGGCACCTTTCCAAACCCTCATCGGCATAATCATGGGCTAAGAGCTTGGCCCAATGACTACATAAACCCCCAGAGCAGCACACCCAGGTAGCAACCTGCTAGCGGGTCCCTCTGACCCTGCCAGAGTTGTTTCTATTGAATAAATCCTGCTCCTTTCACTTTCCCCTTCCACTGTCAATTTCTGTCTTTAGATATCCAGAAAGAATCTGGCAGTGAGCTGCTAGGGTCTACTGCAACCCTGGAGGGCAGAGCCCACCATAAGAGGTGCAACACATTTACGCAGACCCCACATGCCAGCAGAAGTAGAGAAACACCAGTTTCAACCTTGCCCTTAAGACTACTTTAAGGAAGCTGTGCAGTGCTTAAGAAAAAACGGAAACAAGCTATGCTCATCAGGAAAGCATGAGCTCCCTGCTGTATGGCCATCATGTTGACAACCTACAGGCAGCTTCTGTCCCAACAAGCCTACTGTGCCCTGCTCTGCCATATTCACCCAGTAGACGAACAGTTGTCAAAATTTCTCTGAGCCAGGCACCAGCAAATTCAGGAACAAACATGAAATACAAGGGTACAAGCAGGCAGGGAAATTCAACGACTAAACCAGGGACCCCAGTGAAGTACACAGGGAATTGGGGCAGGAATGGGGCGCAGGGTATTTCTATGGAGATACCGTAAGTGGGTATGAGATGGAAGAGGGCTCCAGGCAGGGAAAGTTTCTGAGGTAAAGAGAGAAAAGGTGAGAGTGGGACCTTAAAAAGGTATAGTGGTTGGAGACCTAATACTGCCAATGAAGCCATCCCACCCCCGCAACTTGCGGAACTCCATGAAGATCTTGTTGCGCTTGTGTTTCATCTTTCCATGAATGCACATTATCTTCACGTTCTTCACAAGGGCCTCCAGAGCCTTTCCATAGTATTCCACACAGGCGCAGGTGCTATGAGGGGGAAAAGAGGGCTTAGGGCCACGCCCCTCTTGGTCCTCCTAAAATGGGGATGGGAGTGGTGAGCAACAGGCACGAGGGGAAGACTGGTGGCACGCCCTCTTTGGGAGGATGGATGGAGGACTAGCACCCACCACTGAGCTCCAGAGTGGAAATCCCCTGTCAATGAAAAGCATTAGACACGAGCCAAAACTCTGAGGGTCTTGCCCACTGTCAAAGATATTCAACCAAAGGGGTCCCCCAGTCCCTGAAAGAGGCTTAACTGAATGAAGTACCCATCCAGGACAAAAACAAAGACAGAAGACATAAATAGGCAAGATTCAAAATGCTCTTATTCTTGGAGAACTTCTCCTTCCTCAATAAGCCAAGTTTGATCAAACAGATCCTCCCTCCCAGATAGTCTCGACTTGGGGCTGAATCAGCTGAGGAATGCACACAATGTTCCTATCCTGCTCTGGGATAACAGGACAAAACCCACCATGACAGACGGGTACCTGCCCAAGCCATTCCCAACCACTTCTTTCCTCACCTGCCTCTACTACAAAGCCAAAGTCAGCCAGGGCAGAGGAGTTTCTGAGAAAGCTTTCTGCTTATCTGATAGAAAAGTTATATCTGATATAACCAATGTTGCCACTCCACCCCATATTTCCCCCGTACCTGCCTTCAGTGCAAACACAACAGGGATTACAGAAGCTACAGGTGATATTCAGGAGGGAAAGGCCAAGACAATCACAGACTCACTAACCCTGCCACTGCCGAGACATTTAAAAGTCAGAAACTGCCCATATGTGCACCTGCTTCTACAGAAAAATAACCCTCCCATTAGAGCCTCAGAAGTTGGGCTTTCAATTATTTCAGCCTAGCACACCCCGAGAACAGAATTCATCCTAGACAGAATTCAGGACCCAAGGGTCACCTATACCTGCATATTTTAGGTGCAGCTGAATCCCTCTCAACTAGAACCCGAAAGGTTACCTGAAGAAGACCAGATGTTTCTCCTGTTTATGATTTCGAAGAAAATGCACCAACTGATTAAATTTCTCATCTGCCTTACACACCTGTAAAATACAAGGAAAAATAAAATAAAAACTATTTTAAAAAGAAAAAAAAAAAAAATATATATATATATATATACTGGCAGTACTGAGATGGAACCCAGAAGGCACTCTATTGCTGAACTACTTCCCCAGCCCTTTTATTTATTTATTTATTTTGGTGCCAAGGATTCAACCCAGGGGCACTTAACCACGGAGCCACATTTCCAGCACATTTTTATATTTTATTAGAGACAGGGTCTTGCTGAATTGCTTAAGGCCTTTCTAAGTTGTTGAGGCTGGATTTGAACTTGTAATCCTCTGGCTTTAGCATCCGGAGTTGTTGGGATTATGGGTGTGCGACACTGCACCCAGCTATCTTTTATTTTGAGATAGGGTCTTGCTAAGTTGCCCAGACTAGCCTTGGAGTTGTCCCCCAGAATACCAGCCTTAAGTTTTAAGGGTTATAATTTCCTCCAGAATCAGAGACTGAAGTCAGAAGATTAATCAGTCTACCTAGCTCAGAAATGTTAACATGTGCTGCTGCTATAAGCATCTTTTTTGGTGCTGGGGAATTGAACCCAGGGGCACCTAACCACTAAACCACATTCCCAGCCCCTCCCCCTCCCTTTCTTTCTTTCTTGAGACAGGGTCTCATTAAGTTGCTTAGGGCCTCACTAAGTTGCAGAGGCTGGCTTTAAACTTGCAATCCTCTTGCCTCAGCCTCCTGAGCCACTGGGATTACAGGTGCATGCCATCACACCCAGCTATAAACATCATTTTTAAGTCACAAAATCATAAAACTGAGAGAAATGTTGTTAGGCAGGCCTATAATGACTATAGTTAGGCTCCCTTACCTAGGCTTCTTGCAAGCTATGCTATGCTTTAGTATGCAGCCAGGGCTGGGAACTGGCTATGTTAGGGTTTCAAGGCCAGAAACATGCTGGGCATATAGACTCAAGGTCATAAACATGAACTTGTGAGCACGTGCCCCCTTATGTAACCTATTGGCAGTGTGCCTTCTCTGTTTAGCTTGCTTATACAAAGGGCCTATGAAAAAGACTCAGGGCTAAATGGGGCAAATAAGGGGCAACAAAAGGGAACTGGCTGGGGGCTGAAGCTGAAGCTGGAGGCTGTGGCCACCTCTGAATACAACATATCTTCTATCCTAACTGCATCTTGCATCTTCTTCCACCTGTTGAATCCCACACTTCATTTCCTGGGTCTGAGCTCCGCACAACAAACGTCATCTAACACAACTGTTCCCAAATCCCAACAAATGGAATGGGAGCATGCTGGCTTCCACACCAACTCTCAGAGACACCATTAACACGATTCTGGGGCAACAAGCACATTCTGCCTCAGCAGGTCTGGAATGGACCAGTAAGACACACTACCCACAAGCTCCCTGGGGTCAGAGGCCAGGTATAGAAGTCACTGCTCTCAGCTGGACACAGCTTTCCAGAAAGCAACGTGCATGATTACTGGAAGGACTTCCATGCAGACAGACCCCACAGTCTCTCCTAACAACCAGCCAGATGTTCTATCCAAGCCCCTCACTGGAGACATTAAATTGACAGGAACACATCTCCCTGATTTTCAGAAAAACTTAAAATCTCAGTTTGGACGCTCCTCTCATGCACCTGGACATCTCTAAATACCATCTAATAAATGCAAAGAAGTAGAAAGCAACAGTGCATACAGTGGGTATTCACAGCCACAACACTAGTATTTACTATGTCCTAAGCAATCCAAAACCCCTCTTTGTGAATGAATCAATCCTCAACAGCCCAGCAATGGGGACTCCCAAAGCCCCACTGTACATGTGATGACCTGGTAAGTACACTCAAGGACTTGGTGAGGGACAAAGGTGTGACCGGCACCAGGGCAGCCTACTCTAGTACCAGGTTCCACATACTTCATCCTGTACTGAGTCCTTCCCTCCCCATGAAGAGCCAGCATTCCACCTCAACCAGCCTTGACAGAAACACAGCAGCAGGACCACCCGCCTCAAAGAAGTCTATCTAACTTCAGCAGCACTCCAGGCAGCGGCGCCCTGGGCAGTGCCTGATGTGCAAGCTCCTTCTACAGGTCATCTGTCATCTGCCCATGGGTCAACCAGCCAGGACGGCCACACCCACCTACCCCTCCACAGCAACTGGAACCCTTTGGTTTTGAAACCAACTCTTCTTTGAACAGCAACTGTGATTAGTGCCAAAGTGTTCTTCTGGGCCTAAAAGAAAAGTCTCGTCTCCAGGTGGACGGTCTGATGTACCCCATAAACAGAGACATGGTCCTGTGGGTCCTCCAGCTCCCAGTGCTACTTCCCTGGCTGCCAGTGCTTTCAGAGCCCCTGTGGCCCATCCCAGCAATGGGAGAGAACAGAACCTGAGAGGGTCCAGGTGGCCACAGTACTGAATAATCCAGGTTCCCAAAGTCTGTCCACTGCCTTGCAGAGATAGCCCAGAAAACAACAACTAGGACTGACACCTACAAATCCAGCCGCAATCAGATGCAGGTCAGAAATGCGGAACCTTCAGGCTTGGAACAGAACATTTAGGTAACAAACCTCCTGTAGCCTGTCACCTAATTTTCTGTTTTGCCAGCGCACCCAGCTGTGCCCTTTCACAACACAGGCTTATGCTACTAGCCCGGAGCTACAGTGCTCAACCATGAGTCCCCGGCACATCCCAGACCAATGTGATAAAAATAGCTGGTACTTGGGGAGGGAAGTTCAGAGGCACTGTCATTGGGATTCCATGCTTAAAATATACTTATGCCCAAGTTAACTTACTCACTCATTCAACAAGTAGGACCACCTGTCATTCAGACCACTGGTTCTAGTTCTGTCTCCAAATGCATTTTAAGTGTGCCACAGGGTCTTTTTCTTTTTTTGGGAGGGGTAATTGGGTAATGGAGATTGAATCCAGAGGTACTCTACCCCTGAGCCACATCCCAAGTGCTTTTTTTTTTTTTTAATTTTAAGACAGCATCTCACTAAGTTGCTAAATCTGGCCTCCAACTAGTGATACTCCTGCCTCAGCCTCCTGATTTCACTGAATTACAAGCCTGAGTCACTGCACCTGGCTCCCAGAGTCTCATTTTACACATTTACTTTCCCTGTGACCCTCAAGCACATTCCTAGAACACCACCATCATTCTGAATCCCAGGCTGGAGAAGACAAGCCAGTGCTCACCATGTAGTAGTTCTCCAGGCGGGAGGGGGTCTTCTGGGTGCTGCTGGCTGCCATACCCTTCTCCTTCACTGAGATGCGGACAGGGTTCCGGAGGCCTGCTCTCACCAAGTTCTCCACTTCCTGTGTCTGTGTGGCAGAGAAAAGGCCCGTCCTCCTCTGCTTTGGCAAAAACTCCAGAATGGTGTTTATGCTGGGGCAAAAAAAAAAGAGATCTTACAGTTACTCCATCACTAAGCAGTAGTGAACAGGTGTGTTTGAAGATTGGACAAGGGGCCGGGGCTGTGGCTCAGTGCTAGAGCACTTGCCTAGCATGTGTGAGGCACTGGGTTCGATCTTCAGCACCACATACAAATAAAATAAAAGTATTGTGTCTACTTACAACTAAAAAATATATATATAAAATATATACATATATATATATATATACATAAATTAAAAATAAAAATATAAAAAGATTGGACAAGAAGCCATCCAAATATCTACACCTGATATTACTGAAATCTGAGAGTATGAGTGATGTTTATTTATACTTTGTGGGAGCCAACCTTGCACATGACTTGCTGGGCGATGTGGTGTCAGGCACCCATGCTGCTAGACTGCCCCGCTCTTCTAGGGTTCGAGTGACTGTCTTTGGGCCTGGGCATGGCTTCCTACAGCCCCATGGGTGAAGCTATGCTCACCTGTTCCTTTGTAATCTAACCCCTTGCCCTGTTTAGGATAGAATGTTCCATGGAAGTGCCTTGTGTGTGTCCCCTTCTTTTACTGTGCCCTTGGGTGTAGCCTACCTAGATGTCGGTCAACCTGCTGACAGCAGACATCATGAAGCTGGACTCAGCCCCCTGAAACCTGACCTCTTACCTCATTTGAATAGCTTCTCCTCAATAAAAGGGGTCAGCGTGTGCTCTCTCTCTCTTCCTGTGGACCCTTAAGGTCAGAGGAGCCATCACAGCAACTCCAAAGAAAAAGGTATTTGTGTGTCGTTTGGTTATTTTGTGCAGCCCAATCAGCCCAGTTTTCCTGGAATGACCCCTGAGCCTTTTAGTAGCGAACAGAAACCCAGCAATACTTTCATTTTTCCAAGGCTTCTCAATGTAATCATAAATGACACTTTTATACTTGGATGCCAACTAATAATGTGAAATTAGGACAAAATTTTTGAACCTAACACTGTACTGTGGACTTTATACAGGTGAACTGTAAGCTATGTGAATTATGTTCCCTAAAAAATCTGGGTTTGCTTGCTGGTTTGGTTTTGGTGCTGAGGATTGAACATGGTGGCTCTCTACCATTGAGCTATACCCGTAGCCCTTTAAACTTTCTATTTTGAGACAGGGTCTCACTGAGTTGCACAAGCTGGCCTCAAATTTGCAATCTTCCTGCCTCAGTCTCCAGAGTCACTGGGATTACAGGCATGTGCCCCTCACCAGCCAAAGTCTGTTTATTAAACAAAAACCTAAGGAAATCATGGGGGGAAATGCATTTTAAGATCAAAGATAAAAGAAATGAAATTAAATTGAGTGACAGAATCTGAAGGATAACCCACCTCATAATTTGAAACATCAGTGAGGCTAGTAAACAAACAGTCATGAAGTGATGAAGGTGGTTCATTTGGCTCTCCTCTTTCAGTTATCACCCACACCCCCAAAGTCAAAGAAGTCCAAAATGGGGTACCTTGCTTCAAATCCCATATCCAGAAGTCTGTCTGCCTCATCCAGCACTAGGACATCCAGGGACTTCACACAGCTGACTAGGTCCAAGCCCTCACTCTTCCTCCGGAACATGTCCTCCAGGCGGCCTGGAGTCGCCACTATGATATTTCCCCTTAGAAAGAAAGTCAGTATTTACCACACACTCTGGCCCTTGGAAATATCAGAGATGGTTCCCAAAATACCAAGTTCCACATCGCCAAAGTCACATAACCTCCATTAAGAAAAGTGGCCAGGGAAAGAACAGCAAGAACTCCCCGGCTGTCTGGTATGTCACTGCTATACAACCACAACCGCATCACTTGCCACCATCTGTCCTGCTCTCACACCAAAACAGCAGCTGAGCCACCGTCAAATACTGAAGGTCCACATGTCCCAGAGAGAAAGGGTTTGCTGGTGTCTGACCTCACCAAGTGAGGGAGCATGCAAAGCCCCACGAACTCAACTGTTTTGTTTTTTTTTTAATATTTTATGGACACAGTATCTTTATTTATTTATTTTTATGTGGTGCTGAGGATCGAACCCAGTGCCTCACATGTGTGAGACAAACGCTCTACCACTGAGCTACAGCCCCAGTCCCTACGAACTCAACTGTTAAGAGAATCTGACTGGGCCAGCAGAGGCCCCAGAATGACTGACCTCCAAGAAGTCTCTTCCACAATGTGGATTATATGCCAACAAAGGTAAAGAACTAGGGGAACACACACATCTGGAATTCCATCTTAAGAAACCCAAAACTGGCACTGCTGGGCCCAGAGTCCTTCAGACCACAATCAGCTGAGTCTGGGTATGGCCTAGGCCAACCAGGTGGCTTACATCCTCCCTAACCTGAGGAGCCTGCCTGCAGAAGCACCTCTGGACTCTCCATCAGGCCTCAGCCATGCAGATGCCTCCGGGGCAGTGCCAAGGGCAACGGAAAGGAGCAGAAGCAGCAAGCTCACCCTTGTCGCCTGAACCTCTCGACATCTTCTCCAGGGTTCCTGCCTCCAATCCAAAGAATCTGGCTGAAAAAGGAAATAGGTCTTTTAGCAATTCAAGCAAAACAACAGTCTGCGGTGACAGGGACACTGCATCCAGTTTACCTGAACTGTGGGAAGTACTTCGTGAAATGCGACAGGACCTCATCGATTTGAATGGCCAGCTCTCGAGTTGGGGTGATGATTATGGCTCCCACCTACCCATGTGGAGGGGAGGAGCATGGTTAGCATTACCCAGGGCCCCAGAGCACCCACTATTCAAGGGGACAATTCTCAGGGGAACAGCACATCCTGGACTCCCGGCAGCCTCAGACCATGGCATGTCCACTGCTCTGAATCACAGTTATTTGTCATTACCGTGAGCATTGAACCACTGCTTCCAGGGGAACGTAGTCAGGGTCTTGCCAAGCTCTGGGCACATTTTCACCAACCAAATCAATACGCAACCTCACTGTATACAGACTTCTGTTTAAAAACACCGTATTAAATAAATATTGCTGACTTACTCACACTGAACTCACGGCTCTACAACTCATCTACCACAGACCTCTGCATGTCACGGCCTCCTTACACTCAGAACACTCATGGCACCACAGCACTACACTACAGGCAATTAAACAGCAAAATCACCCCAAAAAAGCACAAAAATGTGCAAACATGCAATACTAAATAGATCACAAAAATAATACTTCTCCACAGCATGAGGGCTGAAATTCAAAGAATTTCTATGAATGACCATGAAAGCACCCAAGCATCAATTTTGGGGTCATACGTTTTAACAAGCAGACAAATTCAAAACAACAATGGGATAATGAGGGTCAGCTACCTTTAATCTTCTCAAGCTTCTGACCAGCATCTTATTCAGCTGTAATAATTATTCAGTCTGGTAACGAAGTGGCAATAAATCCCGTTAGCTTTCCTCACCTGACTCTTTTTTAACTTCTCTTCCCTTCTCAGAAGAATTTCCAGAATGGGGATGATAAAGGCCAGCGTTTTGCCACTACCTGTGACCTGTAAAGGAGGACAAGCTTTGTGCTGCTTTTCCACACAGTGCACTTGAAAAGAACCACGAGGACAGGCTCTATCTGAAGGAGGAACTTACCGCTTCTGCAGCAACGTCTTTATTTCTCATGAACAGAGGGATTGTTGCAGACTGAGGAGAGAGATTGCAAAGTATAGTTAAAGAGTGCCGTGAACTCGCTGGTGAGGCCCCGGGAGCACACTAGGGGGCTAAGGTTGCAGTGGACCCTGGAGGGCTTAACTCAAACGGGGCAATGGTATCTGCATAGACATGTGATAGGAGTCCTGGATTCAAGCCCTCTTTTTTCCCTCCTTGGGCCAGAAAGGGGTTAAAAACTTTGCATCTTCAGGCATCTCCCAGCTCTGATGTCCGGGTTAGAACAGGGATTCAAATAAGGCCCCAGTTTAAATACCAGGAGCTCCTCGAGTTTTACCAAAGGCTTGGCCCTGTAGCTTCAGCAACCAAAGCAGCTAAATCTGAAGCAGACTCCAAGTCTTGGTCCTAAGGTCACCTCCTCCAGGACTCCACTCCTGGTCTCCAGAGCATGGGCTCAGCCCTACCACAGCATGTGTCATACCATTCCAACTACTTCTACACAGGGCTTGTCAACCTGCAAAGTTTCTGTCCTCCCTCCCCCAAGGAACATTTAGCAATGCTGGCGACATTTTCAATTGTCAAAACCCAGGGAGAAGGTCTTGCTACTGGCATTTGGTAGGCAGATTCCAAGGATATTAATATATCCTAGGATACCCCAGACAGCCCTCACAACAAAGCATTTTCCAGATCAAATGTCAGAAATATCAAGGCCACAGAGCCTGCTCTAGACCACTGTCGTCTGATACAAATATAATAAGAACCACATAAATGATTTTGAATTTCCTATTTCTACATTAAGTAAAAAGAAACAGGTGGAATAAATTTAAATAATTTACTTAACTATATATTCAACCATTGTCACTTCAATCTTTAGTCGTTACTACAAAATTAAAGATATTTCCCATTCTTTTTTCGGATTAAGTCTGTTATTTCAACAGAGCACATCTCAGTTGGGACTAAGTGCTCAAAAGCCACTAGGGGGCTGAGGTTGTGGCTCAGTGGTAGAGTGCTTGCCTAGCATGTGTGAGGCACTGGTTCAATTCTGGCACCGCACATAAACAAAAAAATAAAGGTCCATTGACAACTAAAAAAAAAAAAAAAAAAAAGCCACTAGGGCAGGAATGGACAACTCTAGGTGAGGAGTTCGACGGGGACTGGGTCTTGTTTGTGCTACACTGCACAACATGGCACCCAGCTCTGCCTGCTCTGACATCCTTCCTGGTGGTTCTAGGCACAAATTCAACATTTTAAACAGAAACCTCTTGATTTTTCCCTCTGAACCTGTTAACCCCTAGCCCCAGCCTTCCTCATATTGGCTACAGAAACCTCAGGATCCTTCCAGAGTCTGCTCCTTCATAACCCCCACATTCAGCCCCTCAGCAATCTCAATGCCACCCTGAATTTTGACTTCTCCCTGTTCACTGCTTCCATTCTACTCCACGCCTCCATTCCTCACAGTGGACGGCCTCCTGAGGGACTTCCCTGCTTCTTCATCCTCTACACAGCTTCCCAGACACGATGGGCTTCTCACTGCATTTAGAATACAATCCCAGCAGCTGGGTGCTGTGGTGCACCCAAGTTTAAGGCCACACTGAGCAACTTAATGAGAACCTGTTTTAAATTTTAAAAAATAAGTAAATAAAAAGGGCTGAGAGATGTAGCTCAGTGGTAAAGTGCCACTTAGTTTAAACCCCAAAACCAAAATAAATAAATAAATAAATAAATAAATAAATAAATAAATAAATTCAAGCCCCTGCTCTGCTCATCACGACTGGAACTACTCAGCTGCAAATCTCTCTGTTGCTCAAAGCTCATTTCCAGCCAGCTCCGGAGCAGTCGCACTGGCATTTCTCTCTGCTGCAATAAACTGCCCCCAAACACCTCCAGCCAGCCCCTTCTCAATCATTCAGCTCTCAGCTCATGACACCTCAAACAGGCATTCTCTAACACCCTGTTCTTGTCCCTGCTCCTATCACACCAGTCTGTTAGAGTTCCTTCCTAACACAGGAGCAGCTGAAATATCTCACCCCCCCCTTACTTCTTTCTCTAGCTCCTGCATTAAGAATAGGTACCAAAGCTGCAATATCCCCAGAGCCTAGAAAAGTACCGGATACGCAGCAGGCCCTCAATAAATATTGCTTGAATAAAGAAAGACATTGTGCAGTACGGTGCACTTTTCCCACAATAACAACAGGGAACCTTCACTGAGCTCCCATAATGGACCCATGCTGTCTTTATTTAATACCCACAACCCTATAAGCCAGGTCATGTTACCTCCGTCATTCAGAGAAGGAAAATGAAGCAGGAAGGTGAAGTTATTGTCCAAGGTCTCACAGCTAGAGCGGAAGGGTCAGGATAGAAACCAGGTCCTAAGCCCCAGTAGCCCAGAGCGGAGGCCAAGACCACCGTGGCTGTCTGATCTACCGCTTCGCATCGCCGACACCGCCCGAGACGAGGCAAAAGCCGCGGCTCTGGGGGGACAACCCAGAGCCAGCGGAGTGGCCCTAGCGGCTGGTCGGCACGGATGCCCGCCGCGCCGCCGGACTCCTCCCACCTGGCCCAGGACGGATACCTGCACCGGCGTCATGGACGGAAAGCCCAGCTCCCGCAGCGCACCCAGCACCCGCGGGTGCAGCGGCACGGGCAGGGACCCCCAGGAGCCCTCTGTCACGTGCTCCATAGCGCTCCGCAGCCCTCCTGCTGGAAACGCCCCCGCGCCGGCGAGCACTTCCGCTTCCGGTGGCAGGCTCCGCCTCCGGAGCGCAGAGAGCGGGACCCAGCGCGCGGCCAGGTCCGAGCTTCGCCGCGCTCTGCGCACCGAGCGGGTTCCGCTGCGCGAGAGGCTCTGCGCGGCTCCCAGCTCCCTCCGCCAGCTGGAGGCAGGTGGCCGCACGACGCTGGGTGCAGCGGTGGCGGTGGCAGGGCGGGAGGCGGGCCCGACGCAGGTAGACTCCAGCCGGTTCGCCTAGAAGTGGTGGCCAGAGCCCTAATATGGAGCTCCGTCTCCCAGCTGCCTGCGTGGCTTATTGTCCTCGCTCACCTTCCTTCTGGGAGCTGGGCTCGGAGCACGAGTCCCCTCCTGCCCTCTTCCCTTGGGAACTCGTATTCTGATCACCGAAACCTCTACCCGGCTTTATTCCGCTCCGCAGTGTTCACCCTTAACGCACCATCCACGCACTCCGTTTGTTCACCTCCAGAGAGGTGAGGGTCTTCTACACTTCTTCCATCTGCCGCAGGTGGTCAGACCCGTGGGACAAACAAGCGACGCGCTGACTCCAGCCATCCCAAAGTAAGCCTGGAGCAACGTTCTCACTGAAATAAGCAGAGACCCAAAACAACCCTAACAACCTGTTCAAACTTGGCCAGACAGCACTCACAGCAGGGGCACAGGGTAATCGCAATGCACTGTTTGCCTTTTGCCCTCGTATAGTTTTCTGATCTTGGGACCTTTTCCAAGCCAATAATTTCCAAAATTATTTTACCCAAGGTAATGGCAGTTTTAAGACATAAATAGGACAGGCCATGTAAAGAAAGCACTTAGCACCAAGCCAGGACATTACATAGTACTTTATAAAGGAAGTTTCTAACGACAGAATCCTGATTCCACCTTCTATTTATATGGAGCTTTGGGCAAATCATCTATTCTTTCAAACCTATTTCCACATCCATAGTAACAATAATCATATTTCCCCCCCAAAATAGTACTTAAAATGTTAATGATGAAAAGAAACTATACCATGTGGAAACTAAAATGATGCCTTTTGTTCATTATCCTCAAGATTATAAAAAACAACAGACGCTTACAGCAGCTCATAAAACATGGACATGTCTCATACATAAAAGAAATTTGGTATTTGACAAATGTGAATTAATAACCATTAACATATAAAACACAGAATACTGTTTTTAAAAAGAATTGTTTATTTACTGAACCTGGGGCATATATTAGATACACAACCAATTTTAAATTTACATTTTTTAATTCAATTTTGAAGTGTTTTCACACACAAAAAAAGAAATTGGTATGCAACAGGTGTCCTAAGGTGAAACAGTCACCTTATCGATAAACTGTTGCAAGTATTTTCACCCAAGGCTGAAAAATTGTGTCCTGAACATGAAAACCTGTAACAAATTTAAATTAATTATATAAAACTTGTTACTTGTAGTTTTC